TTATTTATTTTTTTTTTTTTTTTTTTTTTTTTTTTTTTTTTTTTTTTTTTTTTTTTTTTTTTTTTTTAATCACTCCCAACCTTCTTCCCTCAGTTCCTTCCTAGATGGGCCCATGAAACCTATGGTACTGGAGATGAAGTGATGCCTCTGAGTTATTCGGCATGTGAGTTGGGAAGGGAGCAGGGGGACTGTGAGGGGAAGGGAGGGGGAATGGGGGAAACAGATGGATCTGAGATTATGCTGCAGCTGAGATTGAAATAAAATTTCACCTTAAAATGGGGTGGCTGCTGCTTCTATGAAACTCTTGGGGATAATTCATCTGCCACTTGATAAATTGGCAGGGTTTCTTTCCAGGTTCTCTCCTCTATTCTCCTTCATGCTTTGTGTGTGTATACATGTGTGTGAGGTATGCGTATGTAATTTTCAAGATGCCTGGCCCCTTTTTTCTCCTTGGCTAACTTCTGAAATAGAGCTGTCAGGATGATTCCAGCATTTGGAGCCATATTCTTCCTGACAGAATATAACTCTTCTTCACAGTTTTCCTTTTTATGGCCTGAAGTCAATGGGAATATTCAATGCAACCTGAGGTCAGGTTCTTGAATTTTAACACAATTTCCCATGAGAATTAGAAGAATGAAAATTCTGTTAAGACAGGGAATAAAAAGTGGAACAGTAATGTAAGGAGTAAAGACTTGTTATGTGGCTTTAAAAAAGCAGCTTGAAGAGGTTTCAGATCTAGGGGGATGAGCTTCATTTAATCTGTCCAGGAATTTAGCACTACTCACAGTGTTATCCGTCATTTTTACAAAATGGTTGAACTCTCATAGCAACTGGCCCTGCTAGCAATCCTAGAATTTCAGTAGGCCAGCTGCAAGAAGGTACATCCAATTAAGTAATTTCAAAAATGTCTTGAAATATAGTATATGCAGTCATATAAACCTATATGATGTGGAAGTTTTTTAAACAATGCCATAGTTATATGGCTATATGTATAGCCATGGGCTATACAGGAGTACAAGTGCTCAAATCTAAAATACAGAAAAAAAAGTCAGTTATGAGCTGGACAGGTTTTATCTTGTTCCTTTATATCTGATCAGTGATATTATTTGATTTCTTGGGAGGCAGAGATTGTGAACACTTCAGTCAACAAAACATTTTATAATCCTGAAAAGAAATGGTGATGTTCATTTATTTTCTGCAAGGAAGAGGTTTCATGCCTGTGCCCACCTCCACAGAGTGGAAATTCACAGGGACCTAGTTTTTTATCTAGGCAAAATTTCTCACATATAAGTGGAAATTTTAGATCTCTCTAATATCAGTTGAACTTTGAAAAATCTAAATTCCCTTGGTTTACATATCTCTGATGTCAAGAGTCTTGGGTTTTACATTAGCAAAATAGGATGAGAATAAAGATGTTGCTATTTAGAAACACTTTGAAGATGTAAGGTGCTGTATATATATAAATCATCAGTTTTATATGAGTTTGGATGTGCTAAAAATGCACACCAATGAAATCATTGGTGGGAAAGCATCATGTTGATCAATGAAGGATCTGAATATTACATTTAGAGGAGAGCATTTTACTATATATGTTCCATTAAGAAAGACAAAATATGCTTTATTCATGTAATATTTCAAGCTCTTTCACTTCCCCAAATGTCAGCTGTCAAACTTTGTTGCCATCCTTACTAACAGCTGCAAAGTGAGACATTTTCCCATTTTTATGTTTGGAGGCACTTAGCTTTCAATAGCAATCCTATCTTATCAATGGTTTAAAAAGGAGGTTTTAAATGAAAACATTGGCTAAAAATTATGGTTTAACTGTGATGTAGCATTACAGGGAGTAAGATAAATTACAAAGTAAAACATGCTATAGGTTAAAAATGCAGAAGCAGTCTGGCCCATGGCAGGTTGAATTACAAAAGACCTGGCTTTATAAATGATGACCAGTCCAGTTACATTTAAGCTTTCTGTGGAAAATCTACTCTATAGGATATTTCCAGTACTGAAAGTGCCTCTGTAGATTTTGCCCTCTCTCCTAATTTTTTTAGTCTTTCCATAACAATTATTTCACATTCTGTTTTCAGCCTGCTTCATGTTTCCTTGTCTTGCCTCTCCCTCCCTCTCCCCCTCCTCCACACCCTTTCTCTCTTTCTCATATCATCTCAGAGCTGTTAGAAAAAATGCTGCTTTTTTTCTGTGTGATGTTCTTCAGCTTTAGCAATTTTCCATTTCACTTCTTTCTCGTTATACTTTTTCCATTTAATATTTGGGAAGAAAAACCATTCTATTTAAAGTTGAGCCAAATACACCGTCACAATGTTTTGGCCCACATTAGTTTTTTCAGATATAAAGTTTACTTGCAGTTTCCTGTGCTCTCCATTTGACTGTTATTAAAGGAGGAGGAGGGGAAAAAAAGGTCTTAACTTTTACCATCAGCAGTAGGTGTATTTTTAAAACTGTCACTGTTACTTGTCTCTCATCTGATTTGCAGCAGCGTGGAAGCTCTGCAGGCTTGCTTACACAACCTGGGTCTCACAGTAGCACGACTTGTTTGTGGGAAGACACTGGTCTGGATCTAAAATGGTCAAAGTACATTTCCGGGAGTGATACAGTCTGAATGAGTTGTAAAGAGGGAAGTAAGCTGAATTAAGTACTACAAAAAATTCTTAGGACAGTGTGGTGTTGTGTGGGCAAGTGTGGTTATAAGGACTGATTAGGAGGTAGAATGCAAGTGATTTAGAGTCCGGGATTTTTTAAATCAGAGGAGCCTTCATCAACAGAGCACCTTCTACTAGTAGAGGCTGTATTTTCAGAGTAAATGAAGACTGAAGAAAACAGTAAGGACTTTTATTTTACTACTGATTTGTGTATATTAGTATAAAATATTAATATACACACTAATATATATTATATATAGAAAGATATACTAATATAAAAATATCTCATTGCATTTAATCCATGACCATTCTGTCATAGCTAAATACCTCCTTGGAGTTTGTATAAAAAGGCTATGTAAAAGTGGACAAAAATGATGATACTACTTATGATACAACAAAGCTGGCAAATACTAAGATACAACAGCATTTAGACACCATGGTGATAGATGCCTTAGAGATACATACAAGAGAGACAAACAGAATGAGTCAATGTATTGCCCAATTTGCATAAAATTTTTCATAAAATAACTTGCAGTGTTTGAGAGAAAATAAATATTTGGTGTTTAGGTTGCTATGGTTTTGTGGTAGTGAAAAAAGCAAAACTATGAACAAACAGTCTAGGCTACATCATGAGTTTACTAAGCAGACAGTGTCTTTTAAGTAACAAAGTGAATATGAAAAAAGGCTTTAATTATGTAGAGGTTAGATGTGATACCATGTGTAATGTCAGCCTTTCCTGTGCTTTTTTGCTTAAAAAACAGATTTTAACCACTGATTTCAAGAAACTCTGAGCAGAGTTGTGCAGCAAGTGCTATGAATTTCTGTTTGCCTTCTTACTTTTGTCTTACTGCTTTGGACTTGGTGACAGAGCAGGTTTTGTCAGCCTCTGAGAGCATTTCCTGCTTTTCCTTTCAGTTGGGATGAACATTTACTGTTTTACTGTGCTTCTTTTTGAGCCAGAAGCATTTCTAAGAGATTCTTCAATCCAAGGGGGATGAGTGCTTTCCTTTGCATGCTCTTCTAGACTAACATCTGTTTTCAGCAGACCACTTAAACACATGCCTAAGTGCATCCTTAAACATTTTGTTGGTCATATGCCTAAAGGAGTACTGTAGGCATTAAAGAGCAGAATATCCTTAAGTGCTTTTTTGAATAGGGGCCTAAATGGGAATGGAAAGAGAATTATGTGCCTTTTTATAATTGGGTGTATTAATTAGCCAAGTGTATGTTTCATTTACGGACATTATCTTTTGTAGTTATGTAACTTTAAAGATTACAGTAAAATACTTAATCTAAATTTTGTTTAATATTTATGTTTTAATAAGTTCAGTTTTCCTCAGTATAATTCATCTGCAAAGGTACTGATAAAGAGTAGGTGGTTGCTTCCATTCAGCAGCCATATTTTGCTAGCAAATGAACTTGCAGTACTGAAAAAAGGTTTTAGGGGAGATAAAGAAAAAAGCAAGTTTACAACTTCATGATAACTTTTTGGAAGGTGCATCAAGGTCTAAGAATTTTGTGCCTTTGCTACAGTGTAATTATTTTTTAATTGTTATCCCTGGCTGAGAAGGCAATACCCTATTTTTTTTTTTTCTGTTAGGTGTGAGTGAATGAGCAAATTTAAGAATTAAGTACCCCAAACAGAATAAACATGCTGTTTTGCAGATTATAAAACATATGGCTCTGATAATGCAGCTCAAGGAAGTCATACTCTTTTCTGATGCGTGAATGGCATGAAAAGTGTTCTACATCACAGTATGGCAAAACTAGTTACTTTATCTAACTTACAGGCCATTTACTAGGGGTAAGAGTAAAAAAATCAATGAAAGCTTATCATATCCACCCCTCTTATGAAACTGCATGGTAGTCCTGTAAGCTTCCATAGGAGGCAATGGTAAGACCCTAAGAACAAATTCTAGCAAAATTAAACATCAGAATTACACTAGAGTTACTCAAATCATGGCTCAGTGGAATAGGCACCTGGAATATATATTTTTTTAAATTCTGCTTTACTTTTACTGAAAAGTCTCTTGAGAATGGTATATTTTTCCAATATTTTTCCTTGTAGATAACTTTAAATAAAAGGAAACTATTCCCCAAATGCATACTTATGCAAGCATTTGGAATGCAGTAAGTGTGTGTTCATTATGACTGAGCAATTTCAGCTGTGGGCAACTGTATAGCAAAAAGTAGAAAAAAATAAATACATCTTTGGAGGTAAATTAAATTGCACTACTCAAAGAACTGGGATCTGCCTTTTATAATTTGGACATGAGAAAACTGAAATAAAACTAAAAGTTCATGCTAGGTTCTCCACTGCTTTCAAATGACTTTGTAAAATGAAATTAAAATGAAATATAGGGACTGACATCGCTTACAAATATTTTTCTCTTCATTTTCAACATATACTCATCAATGTGTACTCATCAAAATTCAACAAAAGCAATGGTCTGTCTAAGCAGAAATGATCTTATCCAGGATAGTCATTTGCATAGTGTATGTC